TTGGCTGGAATGTGTCTGCTGACTGTGAGGTACAGGGTCAAAGTTTACTCAATGATGACGAATAGGGGGCGGGTCGAACCGCGCATATGTTCGCCCGCCGTGGCGAACGCGAACATGCTATGTTCGCCAGGAACCGTTCGCCGGCGAACCGTTCGGTACATCACTAGAGGAGACCTTCGTTTGTTCCTTACGAAAATCGAACCAGATATAAAATATTTAGTCTCGCAGCATCAACCTCAAGGATCTCATTAATTACTAGTAGAGGTAATTTCAATTAACTTTATTGTTTTCTCATTAAACTTTATAAAGTTAAAAACATTATAAACATGCATTAAGTAGAAATAAAAACATAAATGTACATACATTTATTTATTTTTAAAACACCCTCCTTTCTAAAAAAAACATCCTGCACTTGCGCGAAAACTGGTGGGCGGTAAGGAAATTTTTCCATCAAGAAAAATGCATTATTGGGCGGTAGGTAGAAAAAGGTTGACTACCACTGGTTTAAGGCATTGTATGTGGATCTTCTTCTTACTGTATGACAAAAGACTGTAATGGCAACATGTTCTGGGTATATCATTAAAGCAAATACATATTAGCACATCACTTTAATTTGCTATGGGCTAAAAATGTTGAATTTAAACTGGGGACTTTTAAATTGAGGACATCAAGTAATACTTGTACCACTGTGAACCAAGCTCACAGCCATTATGGCCCCATTTAAAATGATGAGCAATGTTATTGTCATAGGCGTGGGCAGCCTATTGCATTAGGGTGTGCACCCTAAAGCACAAACACACGTCGCATGTATATGTATGTATATATTTATATATATATATATATATATATATATATATATATATATATATACACACACACATACAAACACTGGTGTTTGTGTGTGCTGTTAGGGTGCTGTGTGTGTGAGGGTGCTGTTAGTGTGATGTGTGTGTGTGTGAGGGTGCTGGTAGTGTGCTATGTGGGTGAGGGTGTTTGTGTGTGTGTTTGTGAGGGTGCTGTTAGTGTGCTGTGTGTGAGGGTGCTGATAGTGTGCGGGTGTTTGTGTGTGTGTGTGTGTGTGTGTGTGTTTGTTAGGGTCATGTTAGTGTGTTGTGTGAGGGTGCTGTGTGTGTGAGGGTGCTGTTTGTGTGATGCGTGTGTGAGGGTGCTGTGTGTGTGTGAGGGTGCTGTTTGTGTGCTGTGTGTGTGTGTGTGTGTTTGTGAGGGTGCTGTTTGTGTGCTGTGTGTGTGTGTGTGTTTGTGAGGGTGCAGTTAGTGTACAGTGTGTGTGAGGGTGCTGTGTGTGTGTGAGGGTGCTGTATGTGTGCTGTGTGTGTGTGAGGGTGCTGTGTGTGTGTGTGGGTGCTGCTTGTGTGCTGTGTGTGTGGGTGCTGCTGTGTGTGTGTGAGGGTGCTGTTTATGTGAGGGTGCTGTTTGTGTGAGGGTGCTGTTTGTGTGCTGTATGTGTGTGGGTGCTGTTTGTGGGCTGTGTGTGTGAGGGTGCTGTACGTGTGCTGTGTGTGTGAGGGTGCTGTATGTGTGAGGGTGCTGTATGTGTGTGTGTGCTGTATGTGTGAGGGTGCTGTATGTGTGTGTGTGCTGTGTGTGTGAGGGTGCTGTGTGTGTGTGTGCTGTATGTGTGTGTATGCTGTATGTTTGGAGGTATTGTGGGGGTGGAGGTGGAGGTGGGGGCAGATTAGTAAATACATAAGGTAAGAACAGAGGGGGGAATCTTGCTGCCCTGTGCCCAGTGGAAAGTGAACTCTCGCGAGAGTAAGAGGAACACAGCGGAGCTGCTGGCCTCTCCTGCCTCCCTCCATGCTGCTGTGGGCTGCTGAGGGAGATCTTTGATCTGCCCACCGGCGCATGGAGGCTTAGAGCAGAGCCGCCGCTCGGATAGCGCCGGCTCTGCACGAGCTGACAGGGGAGATCCTGAGATCTCCCCTGCCGGTCTCAACCCATAGGCTTGCCGCGACACACCCCGTGCGCACTCCTATGTTTATTGTGGGGTTTACCACTGTACCCCACACTGCAATGATGTGAGGTGCACACAGTGTGTGCTCCCATGCAGTAGTCATGTGTTCTTGCAGTGGAGTTACTAAGTGTGTTTTTGGGTACTTAGGGTAAAGGGTTAATTACATTCACGATGCTGTAAATTTTATTTATTTCACTCTCAGATAAGCTTCCTTTAAAATCAATTTGGACATCCGTGATTTAAATATTTTTGGGGCATGGAAGTGATGGAAAGATAAATACAGGTCTTTTATGGGTCATACAGTAAGCAGAATACTGCTGATTTATTTACTGGTAAAATGATGTATGTTAACAAGACATTCTACTCTGAAACCATGAAGTACAATGTACATAGTTACATAGACTGAAAAGAGACATGCGTTAATCAAGTTCAGAAATTTTCACATCTCTTTTTGCTGTTCCAAAAGAAAACAAAAACCCAGTTTGAAGCGCTTTCCAATTTTTCAATAAACTAGGGGGAAAAATCCTTCTCGACCCCTGAATGGCAGTCAAATATCTCCTTGAAAGAAGAAGTTATTACACCACAAACTAAAAATGTTATCCCTGTATATTATGTTTTTGCATGTATTCATCCAGTTGCTGTTTAAACATGCACAGATCTAATAAAACCACCTCTTCAAGCAGAGAATTCCACATCCTTATTGTTCTAAATATAAAAATCTCTTTCTTTTGCCTTAGACTAAATCTCCTTTCCTCCAGTCTAAATGCGTGATCTTGTGTCCTATGTATAGCCTTGTTTATGAATAGATTTCCAGACAATGGTTTGTATTGGCGCTAAATATATTTGTATAATGCTTTCATGTACCCTGTGAGGCGCCTTTTTTCTAAACTAAAGAGATTTACATTTGTTAACCTTTCTTCATAACTGAAATATTCCATTACTTTTATTAATTTTGTAGCCCGTCTCTGAATTTTTTTTAGTGCCATGATATCCTTCTTTAAAAATTACACAGCAAATTTTATTTCATTGTGTGAATTAATGTCCCTATTTATACACAAGAATACCTTACTGGTCTTAGCAACTGCTGATTAACTTTGCACACTGTGACCTAGTTTACTGTCTATAACAATTCCCAAAAGCTCCTTGTGTGATAGTAACCCTAATTCACTACCGTTTATGTTGTAAGTTGCTTGTGCATTCTTTACCCCAAAGTGCATTACTTTGCATTTATCTAAATTAAATTTTTATTTGCCATGTGAGTGCCCCATCCTAGGGGCTGTCTATCTAAATTCGTCTGCAGCAAAGTAATATCCTGCTCAGTGGCGGATGCAGGGGGGGGGCAACGGGGCAATTTCCCCCCCCCCCCCGCCCCCCGAGGCTCTCCCCTGCCGGCAACGCTCTAAATCTCACAAGAGTGAACTCTAGCCCTGAAACGCAGGCTAGAGTTCACCTCACCACCACTGGGACCACCAATTAATCCCCACCAGACCACCAGGGATCCAGAAATGCCCCCCTTCCTCCTTCCAGTAAAGGTAAGAAGGGAGGGGGGACATCAATATATTTATTTTAACTAAATTTTAAAAAAAAGCCTCCCTACCCTCCTTCCCCCCCATACACACACACTGCCCCCAAACACACTGCACACCCATACACACACACTGCCCCACAAACACTGCTCCCCATACACACACTGCCCCCATACACACTGCACACCCATACACACACACTGCCCCCCATACACACACACTGCCCCCATACACACTGCACATCCATACACACACACTGCCCCCATACACACACTGCCCCATACACACTGCACACCCATTACACACACACTGCCCCACGGCCAAACACTGCCTCCCCCATACACACACGGTTCTTCACAAACACTGCCCCCATACACACAGAACACACACTGCCCCACAAACACTGCCCCATACACACACTACACACACTGCCCCACAAACACTGCCCCCATACACACACTACACACACTGCCCCCATACACACACTGCCCAACAAACACTGCCCCCATACACACACTGCCCACAAACACTGCCCCCATACACACTGTACTTCCCCACAACACTGCCCCCATACACACACTGCCTGACTCCATACACACACACTGCCCCACAACACTGCCCCATACACACACTGCCCCAAACACACACACATCAACTCTCATACACACTGCCACCCTCACATACACACACACTGCAGCTCTCTCACACACACACTGCAGCTCTCTCACACACACACTGCCCCACACATACACTGCAACCCTGACCTACACTGCCGCCCTCACGCACTCGCACACATACTTCACTGCTCACACACACACACTGCACCTTTCACACACACACCTCACCCCTAACACTGCTCCTATTCCCTATATCCCAGCAGACCCCAGGTAAGTTGTCAAACTGTTCTTAAACTGTTTGACTACTTACTCTGGGATGGGATCCTGGCACTACTGGCACCATAACTACTACACTGAGCTGTAGTGGTTATTGTGCCTGGATTATTTCTTTAAATAATCTTCAAGTGCCCCTCCCGAGATCAGGCTCTGGATCCGCCACTGATCCTGCTCTCATTGTATTAATTTAAAGAGTTTTGTGCCATCTGGAAACATTGAAACATGACTTGTAATGCCTTTTTCAAGATCATTTACAAATAGGTTAAATAGACGCACTGAGGGACACCACTTGTTACTTTTGTCCAGCTTGAAAATATACTCTGTCTTTAAAGGACCACTATAGTGCCAGGAAAACATACTCGTTTTCCTGGCACTATAGTGCCCTGAGGGTGCCCCCACCCTCAGGGACCCCCTCCCGCCCGGCTCTGGAAAGGGGAAAGGGGTAAAAACTTACCTTTTTCCAGCGCTGGGCGGAGAGCTCTCCTCCTTCTCTCCGCCTCCGATCCTCCTCCTGGGCTGAATGCGCACGCGCGGCAAGAGCTGCGCGCGCATTCAGCCCGTCACATAGGAAAGCATTTACAATGCTTTCCTATGGACGCTTGCGTGCTCTCACTGTGAAAATCACAGTGAGAAGCACGCAAGCGCCTCTAGTGGCTGTCAATGAGACAGCCACTAGAGGATTAGGGGAAGGCTTAAACCCATTCATAATTATAGCAGTTTCTCTGAAACTGCTATAATTATGAAAAAATGGGTTAACCCTAGAAGGACCTGGCACCCAGACCACTTCATTAAGCTGAAGTGGTCTGGGTGCCTAGAGTGGTCCTTTAAGTTAATGCTCTAGCCATCAACAAGAATTTCCATCTAGACCAATTTCTTTTAGTTTGAACATTAACCTATTGTGTGGAACCATATTGAATGCCTTGGCAAAATCCAAGTAGAGCACATCCACTTCTTCGTAGAATGCAATTAAGTTAGTTTTGCATGAACTGTTTCATAAAACCATGTTGATTTTTGCTAATGACATTGTTCTTCTCAATATTTCCTGATTATGTTAATAACCTTAATAACCCTTCAAATACTTTCCCAGCCACATAAGTCAAGCTCATACGTCTATAATTTCCAGACAAAGATTTTGAACCTTTTTTGAATATAGGAACCACATCTGCCTTCCTCCAATCCTTTAGTACAATTCTTGAAAGAAAAGAATCCTGAAAGATTAAAATCAGAGGTTCATTTATTTCCACACTTAGCTCCTGAGCCCTGGAACTTTGTTTACATGAACTTTCTTTCTTGCTGCAGCACGTTATCTTGAGTCATCCAGTCACAATTGTCCTGCTGCAATTATTTGCAAATCTCTTGCCATAGGTTGTTCCTTAATATATACTAAGGGACAATAGTTGTTTAAAATGTCTGCATTTTCCTGGTCTTTATTAACTAACACACCTATCTCTGTTTTCAGAGTACCTACACTTTCTTTTCTTTTTCTTTTTTTTAAAGAATGTATGCACTGAAAAAAATTGGGTGGGTCGTTTTGCTCTCTTTGGCTATGACTTTCTCATTTTCTAGTTTAGCCCATCTAATCGCATTTTTGCACGCATTATTGGCTTCTTATCTTTTATAGGATGTCTCTAATTTGTGTGATTTAAATGCTTTAAATGCCCTTTTCCTATTATTCATTTCTTTATTTACCTTCCCATTAAGCCACTCTGGTTTCAATGTGTTTTTTTTACACATATTTCTAATATTTGTTTGAATATATTCCATTTATCTCAAATGATTTTTTTTTTTCACTAAAGAGTTTATATCCCAGTCAGTATGTTGTAAAGCTGCCTTAACCTTATTGAATTTGGCCCTTTTAAAATGATATATTTCAGTATTCCGCATGTACATTTGCTTTTTTGAGTTTCTTTCAAATGACATCATGTTTGATCACTAGTTCCCAAGTGCTTGTTTGTTATAACCAGATCCAGACAAGCGTCCTTTCTAGTTGGTTCTTATACCGTTTGTGACAGGAAGGTGTCATTTAACAGATTTAATAACCTAATTCCATTTGCTGAACTACAAGTCCCTCTGTCCCAATTTATGTCCAGATAATTAAAATCTCCAATAATTAACGTGTTACCCAGATTTGCAGCTTTTTCAATTTGCTTAAACAGCTGTTGTCCCTCATCAATATCAACATGAGGTGGTTTATAACATATCCCAACCAATAACTGATTTAAATTCTTTGCCCCAAGCAGATATCTACCCAGGGGTCAAGTCCTGGGGAAAAAAGTGTGGGAACTCACCCAAGATACCCGCCTCCCCCCCCCTTAAAAAAAAAAATGTAAAAAAAATTACACTCCTATGCATATAGTGCAGTGCGTGTATAATGAATGTAGTGTGTTTGTAGCGAATGCAGTGTAAATAATAATTGTAGTGTATTTGTAGTGAGTGCAGAGTGTGTATAATGAATGCAGTGTGTTTTTAGTGAGTGCAGAGTGTGTATAATGAATGTAGTGTATTTGTAGTGAGTGCAGTGTGTATAATAAATGTAGTGTATTTGTAGTGAGTGCAGTGTGTATAATAAGTGTAGTGTATTTGCAGTGAGTGCAGTGTGTTTAATAAATGTAGTGTATTTTTAGTGAGTGTAGTGTGTATAGTGAATGCAGTGTGTATAGTGAATGTAGTGTTTTTGTAGTGAGTGCAGAGTGTGTATAATGAATGCAGAGTGTGTATAATGAATTTAGTGTGTTTGTAGTGAGTGCAGAGTGTGTACAATGAATGTAATGTATGTAGTGTGTTTGTAGTGAATGTAGTGTGTTTGTAGTGAGTGCAGAGTGTGTACAATGAATGCAGTGTATGTAGTGTGTTTGTAGTGAATGTAGAGTGTGTATAGTGAATGTAGTGTGTAGTTAGTGCAGAATGTGCATAATGAATGCAGAGTGTGTATAGTGAGTGCAGAGGGTGTATAGTGAATGTAGTGTGT